CTCAATATTTTCTGCACAGGAGATTGCCCAACTCTGCCACATATAATAGCCTGTCAAAAAAAAACTGACTTTAAATTGGTCTTTCGGTCACCCGAAAAACAAAACGAACACAAATTTGAAAAGATAAAATATGCCACATCAACATTTTTTGTTAGGATTAACCAAAATTGATAATGTAACAATTTCTTTTATTTAGCTATGGTTTGGAGCGATTGGATTTCTCAAACAAAAACACCGTTCAGAAATCGCATTTCAATTCCAGCTTCCATCATTCTTGTGTCAAATATATACTCCTTCCGTTTCAATTTATGTGAACCCATTTGACTGGGCACGAAGTTTAAGAAAAGAGAGAAGATTTTTGAACTTGTGGTGTAAAATAAAGTACATATATTTTGTGTGGCTATAAATCATTGCATAAAGGTAAATTATTTCCAAATAGGAAAAGGGGTCATTCTTTTTGGCACGGACTAAAAAGGAAATAGGTTCACATAAATTGAAACGGGGGAGTATATCTTTAACTAAAATAACTTCATTCCCAACCAAGTTCCATTTAAATTCTACCAAAAGGTTGTACTTATTCAAGCAGTGCGATGCAGCTCTTCAGGATCATATTTCCAACGCGGAGCATAGATATATATGTGAAAACCCACTAAACTTTCAACAAATACTAGATCTAAGTCAGTGCTGTTAAAAGTACAATGAGTTTAATGCTAAGAACCTTTGGTTCAATTGTGGGATAGACAAGGATATTGGATTAGTTATCCCACCTTCTATATGGGATAGCTAACACCATCATTTTGGTATAAAATTTATACCAGTATTAGCTAATACCAATAACCAAACATGGGATAAATACATTTCCAAATTCTATCTCTAGATTAGAATCCTTATCCCGGTAACCAAACGACCCCTCACCAAGTTAATTCTGGATCTACCTAAGCACCCAAGCCTCATATGGTGTCACTTGAAACAATTTTTTAGTGCAAAGTCAGAATGATCAAAGAGCAAAACAAAAGTCAGTGGAATAAGATAATGGAATAAAATTAGATTTAACACTTAAAGAACACGATCTAATCAAATAGAAAATAGCTCAAAAAACTAAAATATACTTGTACAATACGTTAGCCTTCTTGTCATTCATTCTTTGACTTCTACTTGTACACATTGCAGTTATGACTTAACTTCGATACGCTTATAGGAATTTCAGCAAGAGTACATACCTTGTGCACACCCCGAAAATTCCAGCCCTTTCTAGGATCCACACCTTGCAGCTGCAAATCGGGCTTTTCAGGAAGAAAATCATCATCATCAATTTCTACAGCTTCATTATTACTTACAGGCGCATCGTCATCACTAAGAAATGTACCAGTTGAATAACACAACCTAGAGCTTCCTTGCACACCCATCACTGTAAAATGCAATGAAACAACCATTATCATAAGGAAAACTACCTTTTCAGAATGCCCGCCAACTGTTCGGTCAAAATCCCCTTCTACGAACATATGGCTTCAATATGACCAGTACTACATTACAAGAATCAGTAATAAACAAAGCGGATAAATACAATGAAAGTGTGATTATTTACCAAGGGAAGAACAGGGTTTTGTGGCAGGAGAGACGCGTAACAATTTGACGATTTTAGCAGCCACTGAATTCATTTTTCAATTGAACGGAACTCAGAGACGGAGAATTAGGGGACAAGGAGGGTTTTCGTTTTACCGCTATAAAACACTCTTTATACGGGTCGGGTTTGTAACTTGGGCCAGGCAGAGTAATATGGACCCGAGTAATAAGCACCGATTTGCTTCTCGTTTGTCTTGCCCTAATTTTACAAGTTCGACTTTTAAAATGGTCGTCGCCTTATCAATTTTGTTTAATTGGTTTTTTTACTCTATGCTAAGTATATTATAAATTTTGTTTAATATAATATAATTTAATACCTTGTTTAATTAGACGTCTCCTACTCTTTGCTAAATGTGTAAGAAAATTAATAAAGACCTTTTATTGACCAATAATGCCTATGTTTAACGTGTTAAGGGTGGTTGCAACTTGCAACATTAACAAGTCTTAAATCAAACCTTATCAATTCATCAATTCAGACTCGAATTTGTCTCGGTTATACTCCCCAATTTGGCTTAGCTCCATGCTAGTGGTGGCAAAATGGTTAAAAGAATAGAGCTAATCACTCATATTACCCATTAAAAAATGGATTGGATAATGAACTTTTTAAAAACGGTTCGAATATGGATAAGAACCATATTATCCATTTAGAAAATGAATAACCAATGGTTCTAACTTTTACATAAAAAAACTTCAAATTCCTCAAGTTAGGGAGACTAAGAATTCTCCCAAAAGTGATAATATACAAGAAGTCATGGATAATATAGTTACACATATTATCTGTCGGTTAACCCTTTTTTATCCGTATTATATATGGGTCGGGTCGAATAATTGATCCGTTTTTCAATTATCCATTTTCGACCCGAATCATATCTGTCCCGACCCGCCCATTTTCCACTCCTACTCCATGCCTAAAAACTATTCCAAACAGCATAAATTAATTATGGCAGAGGAATAGTCATCTTCAAGAACATTATATAACTCTCCGGGAGGTGGAGCATTGTACTGGGTAATTTAGAATTCTTCGGGAGTTGTTGTAACTTTAGGTATTGTAGACAGATTAGAGTTGATGAAGTTGAGGGGGTTATACGTAAGATAAGTCGGGGTAAAACGATCGGGCCGGATGAAATTCAGATGGAGTTTTGGAAGAGTGCGGGCAAAGCAGACTTGGAGTGGTTCACTAGGTTATTTAATATCATTTTTAGAACGAAGAAGATGCCCGACGAGTGGAGGTGGAGCATGATGGTTCCTGTATACAAGAACAAGGGTGATATCCAAAATATAACTATCGGGGTATCAAGCTGCTTAGCCACACTATGATTGTTTGGGAAAGAGTGGTAGAGCTAAAGGTGAGGAGAAGTGTGTCTATTTTCGAGAAATAGTTTGGGTTTATGCCGGGGTGTTCGACTACAGAAGTCATCCACCTTGTTAGGAGATTGATGGAGCAGTATAGGGAAAGAAAGAATGACTTGCATAGGGTGTTCATCGACTTAGAAAAGGCGTACGATAAAGTTCTGAGGGAAGTTTTCGTGGAGATGTATGGAGGCTAGAGGTGTATCTATTTCCTACGTTAGGTTTATTAAGGACATGTATGATGGAGTAAAGACCCGAGTGAGGACGGTGGGTGGGGACTCAGACCATTTTTCAGTTATGATGGGGTTGCATCAGGGGTCGACACTCAGCCCCTTTTTTGTCTAGTGATGGGCGTGCTGGCACGCCACACCCAAGGGAAGGTGCTGTGGAGCATGCTATTTGCATATGATATTGTATTGATTGACAAGACGCGAGACGGTGTGAATGCGCAATTAGAGGTATGGAGGCAAAACCTAGAATCTAAATGTTTCAAGTTGAGCAGGACCAAGACAGAATACTTGAAGTGTAAGTTTAGTGGCGAGACTCAAGGAGGGGAAGGGGAGGTGAGGCTGGACTCACAGGTCATCCCTAGGAGAGAGAGTTTTAGGTACATTGGGTCTATTATTTAGGAGGTGGGGAGATTGATGAAGATGTCACACATCATATTGGGGCGGGATAGATGAAATGGAGACTCGTTTTTGGTGTTTTGTGTGACAAGAAGGTGCCACCGAAACTTAAGGGTAATATCTACAAAGTGGTAGTCAAACCAACGATATTGTATGGGGCTGAGTGTTAGCCAGTCAAGATCGTTCATGTCCAGAAGATGAAAGTAGCAGAGGTGAGGATGTTGAGATAGATATGCAGGAACACCAAATTAGATAGGATCATAAATGAGGTTATTCGCGACAAGGTGGGTGTGGCCCCTATTGAGGACAAGATGCGGGAAGCGCGCTTAAGTGGTTTGGTCATGTGAAGAGGACGAGCACAGACGCAGCAGTGGGGAGGTGTGAGAGGTTGACATTGGAAGGCCTACGGAGAGGTTGAGGTAGGCCAAAGAAGAGGTGGGGAGAAGTGATTAGGCAAGACATGGCGCAACTTCTGCTGACCGAGGACATGACCCTTGATAGGAAGATATGGAGGTCGAGGATTAGGGTAGTAGAGTAGGTAGTCTAAAATGCGCATAACAGTAATATTGGCACACAGTCTCGCTTTCTGTTGGTAGTATTTTATGACTAACCGTTGTTTTCTTTCATTATTGATCATCTTACTGTCTTGTTGTTTTTATTCTGCTTTCATATGGTTTTTTGGTACTGTTCCTTCTTGTCTATATTTTCATTAATATGGTGCTTATGCTTTCTTTAGCCGAGGGTCTATTGGAAACAACATCTCTATCCTCACAAGGTAAGGGTAAAGTTTACGTATACACTACCCTCCCCGGACACCACAGTGTGGAATATTACTGGATATGTTTTTGTTGTTGTAACCATTTCAAAAGTAACATTACGTACATAACACCATTGATGCAAAAAAAATCGTGACTTATTTCTCTATGATATTATCATAGTTCTAAGCCATAGTTTCAGTTTGGAGTTTCTATAAATGCTCCTTATTAACTTGTTCATGAATAACAATATTTTTTTATTTTTTTTGAAAAATGGAAAAAAAAGATTAAAGTGTTACAAACGAGCATTGTCAAAATAAATTAATGTACTCTTATCATCACTAGCTGAATATATTCTTTAGTTAACTTTAGATAGAGCTTGAGAAACGAGTTTATTTTCGTAAAGCACATTGATCTACGTTCTAGGTCTTAAATCTTCGTCATATTGAGTTTCACAAGGTATGAATAGAATAAAACAAAAGCAATTTTAATTTTATTTTATTTTTTTTTTGGCTAATAGTGTGAAATCAAATGATGTTTGCTTAACTACCCCTTGAAGAGAGAAAGAGCGAGTCCGCCGTTAGGGAAGAAAATGGGAGTAGAGGTTATTCCATGTTGTGAGATAAGCAAGCACTCCATGTTTAGATGAGTTTGATGAGAAAATATGTAACTAACTTCATCATTTAATCCTTTTTTTACATAGTGTAATTTTACTAATATAACCTTAATCTCGAAAAGAGTATTGAGGGCATCATTGTGAAAAAGTAACAAAATCCGTGATACCATTAGCATATGAATAGGACACTCCCCTAACCCATTACCCACGTCTTCTGAAAAAAAGGATCAACAATAATAATGAAAAGGAAAGGAAAAGGAAGAAACAACCCAACTCTTGTAAATATTGAACCATTGTGTTTGGCAAGAGCAAAACCAACTTGTTCAAAGAAAATGAAGATGGAGAAGGTAAGTTTTCATAGTATTCGAACGTGGAAAAATTCCAGCTCTCTCCTAAGGTATTCACAAATCAATGGCTTTGCCATGTCCCTGCAACAAAAGGTGAGAGTGAGATTCCCCAAGTTGCTTGATGTCAAGAACCCCACGCAAAAGACTGAAAAGGGTGGCCCCAAGGGCAAAAACAAAATGATCAAATGGGCCAAACCTGCACAACTTCTGCCAAAGGAAATTGGTTCCATTTTCAGTAATGGTTCCCGCAACAAGAAACCACTTCAAAACTCCAAAAATGACATAAACGATAATGCTGACGCTTTGAATGACTGCACAGAAGAAGAACGAGATGCGCTTATTGTCTCCAGGAAAAAAGGCAGCAAGTTTAAGTCTTTGTTGGAAGATTCAGTAGAGGGATTAACGTTGAGTAGATCATGTTCATTCAAGAAGATAATGAGAATCATAGATACAAAGGGAAAGCAAATGAAGAAGAAAGATGAAGCAACCTCAGAAACGTCAACTGGCACAAGAAAGCAACCGCGGATTTTGTTCCGAAATCTTTCAGGGCTCAAGTTCAGGTTCAGGACGAGGGTTAGATTTCGCTTCAACAATGGGAAGACCAACAAAGCAGATACTGGAACAGACTTTGAAGGTGCTGACTACGTTGCTGTTAAAAATGCCGAGACGGGGAAAATGTCGAAAACCATTAGCTGGGCATCAATCAGGAGGCCTACTGGTTACTGCATCATTAGAAGCATGAAATCCATACACAAAAGAATGATGAAACAGGGGAGAGAATGCAAACATGAAGATGGGGACGAACAAGAGAAAGTTGAACTGGAATTATGCAAGAAAAGGATACTCATGGGAGACAAATGTCGACCGCTCAGTGCATCCGGCAGCCTTCATTACGATCAGAATGGCATTCTGTTACCAGAAGTTCTTCCATATCAAGAGTTATAAGCATGTTAAAGTTGATTTTGTGAGGCTCATTTCTGCACATTTTAGATTTTTAGGTAGGGTAAACTCTTTCATCTATCAGTAAGAATTTCGGCTGAACAGCAACTTTGTACACTGTACATTTGTGAAGTTAAGACCTTATTGTAATTGTCTACCCGCTTCTTTGATATTCATGTGCATGCTTTTTGAGACTGTAGCAGTTAACCCATAAATCGGCATCCTTGGACCTGGGCAAGCAGACCATTCAAATCTTCTTCCTCAAGTTATCATGAATGTAGGAGTGAACCGTAAATATGCAGTTCTCAGATCATTAACAGAACTCAAATGATATTAATTTGTTGGGACTTTGTAGCATCAGCTAATAATACTAGAGGAACTACGGGACAAAGCTGCAGCTGCAGCTTCCAATAGTAGATTAGTACACCAAAAAGGAGCAAAAGAGAAAAAGTAAAGGTGCTACAAGGCCAAAAGACCACACATAAGCAAAACATATTGAGAACTACAACCGCAGATGTACATGGTCATAGCTTCAAAGGCTTTAACCCAAGCGATGCCCTAAGCCTGTTGGCTTCTGCTATCTCTGGATCTGGATGATCTGTTCCATCATCTTTCTTTTCTTTCTTCTCCTTCTTCTCCTTCTTCTTCTTGGGTTCATCACGAGCAGGACTAGCACTGCTGCGAGCATGCCTTTTACGACGATCATCATCACGGTCTTTACGGTCTCTGCTTCTACTTCTGCTCCTAGAATAACTCCTGTGTCGACCGCGCTCACGGTCACGTCTATCACGTTCTCTGGCCTCCCTGTCCCTTTCCCGATCCCTCTCTCGACCATAGTCCTTATCGTCTCTGAGGCGATGACGGTCCCGGTCCCTGTCTCTATCCCTGTCACGTCTTCCACGTTCCCTGTCATAATCACGATCTCTTTCATAGTCTCTATCATAATCTCGATCTCTATCATAGTCACGATCCCTGGAAAAAAAAAGACGCATAGAAGCTCAAATCAGAAAACAAAAAGAGACCAAGCCCAACAAAGGAAAAGGCATAGTGGCTCGTATCGTAAAGCTAAAGGTAATGTTCTAATCATAGTTTCGCCACTGAGAAGTAATATGATAACACTACAACTGCAGAAATCTAAAATCACAAAGTGTAGCCAAACTAATTACCCTATTACCAATTGAAACAGTTGGACAGCAGAAATGTATGATCTATCATACTTCTCAACTGCACACTGTCAGTGCAGAGAAACCTGGCAAGATCACAATATTTTTTTATATAGGAAGCTGTGCTGATCACCAAAAGGCCTAAAATGCCATAATGGATGTAATATGTGAAGTGTGTGCTTTGAGTAACAGTTCCAGAGTATCTCTGGGTACTTCAACAATCAGCTTCCAATCAACACACTATGAAGTAGTGAACAAAATTTCACTTAACCAGGCTTATGTCAGGGTCACCACCTTCACCCCCGACAGAGAGCCCCCAACCCGACTCCCACAAAAACAGGAGCTTGACAAGCTACAGTTTTTCTGAATGATTTCAAAACCATTAAAATCATATATAATGATGCACACACTCTGAAATGAACACTGGGTAATGGTATCAACTCAAAACAGTCACACTCCACATCTAATAGGAGGAGTTATTTGCAGTTGTAGGACCCCATATCCATGTGCTCCACTTCACAAAAGTCAGTCGAGGCAAATGAAGAGTCCAAGCCTCAAAGCATACATTAACAAAGTAGATGACCATACCAAAAAATACAAAAGGATTTTACAGTAACGAGAAAAGATCAACAGATGATTGAGCTCTACCTGTATCTGTGACTATCTCGTCTTCTATCCCGATCTCTCTCCCTAGTTGGACTTCCCCCACGATAGTAATCCTGCATTGTTACAGATCAATAATCAGAATACTGGATCAAGCCTTAAACAACGATGTCCATGTAAAACTAAGCAAGTAAAAATTAACCTTTTCATGATCATCGTCTAATCCAGTGGCAAGTGGTTCATCTTCATCCTTTTCCTCTTCCTCTTCAAAGTCATCTTCCAATGCACTTCTCCGAGGTTCCAGCTGTCCATTATGTTCCAATTGCGATCTGGTGGCAACACATGATACATGAGAAACTAAGAGAACACACACATAAAGAGTAGAGAAAAAAAAAGAGAAAACTAAAATAGAAAACTAGAGGTACATGCACTGTAAAAAAAATTGGAGGCATTAACAGCAAAGAGAGAGATCTAACATCACGAACACTGCAAAAATATAGCAGGAGAAACACCTGACAAAATAGACAATTACAGAGTTTTTTAATATTGGACGATCAAGGAAGTTCTCTCTTTCCAATTGATATTTTTGTGATCTAGACCTGTGTTTTGGGCTCATTATAATTTTCCTCTGCGTTATCATCTTAAGCAAATTGAGCTTTCAACTTAACTGATACAAGCTGGCTTAGATCTCCTAGTAATTGTGTTCAATGAACTGAGCAAAATTCTTCCAACGTATAGGCTTCAATGGCTTAAGTCTTTTTCGCATCACTGCTAATGTCATCAGGAAGCAGCAAATGGCGAAAAGGACAGCACAATATCCATTACAAAATATAAACAAACAAAAACATAACAACCAGCATCCCTCCTAGCACAAGTCTTGTTTGGAGTAACATAATCCATCACTACGCAAGCTTAAGTAGGGGCTAATTAAACCAGCAAAAATTACATACTTATTTACAAAGTAGAGTCTTTATTTTTTCTAATCAGCCCAAGCTAATTGGATATTCAATAAATGAATCATGTTGTGCATAATTTTTTGGTCGTCCATTTAGGTGAACAAAGAGTTAAGTAAATTAGTCCACTTTTTTTACAAACCTTTTCTTGATGCGAGGCAAAGCAATATCACAAGAGTAATCTGTCGTCAGAAGCTCGTCAATATACTCATCCACGTGTGTCAGTGCATACTCTGCCACAACCCAAAAAAAAAAGGTTAGGACTCAAATCATCATAATTTTATTTAAATCACCCGACAAAACCAAAAAAAAGGCAAGAAAAACTTACGCCCATCAGCTAATTTACGTCTGAGCTTCCGATAATCATTGTAGAGAGGCTCAAGGTATCGATAAATATCGATATCCGTACCCGTAATCCGCAAATAAAAAGCCCCAAGAGCACGAACATACTTGTAATCTTCGTTTTTTATGAACTCCACAACTATATCTTTTTCAGGCTGGATTTGGAGCATCTTCATGACAAGGCATATAAAGGGTGTGGGTTTTCGATTGCCGCCGAATGTACCACCGAGGTGGTCGAGTTCCATGGCCTTGTCGACTAGGGTTTCTGCTGTCAACCCGAAACATTGTTCTTTCCAGTAGGTGTTTTGGTATATTTTAGACCTGAGAATTTTCTCCACCAGATTCTGAGGGTTCGTTCCCCTAATGCTCTTTGCCAATGGATCGGTGCGATTCGCCATGACTGTCAAACCCTAATCGAATCAGAGTGGAGAGGTTTTTGGGAGAAAGCCCCAAAATAAGGGAAAAAAGAAAATCGAAAGGGAGCGGAGTATATATAATATTATAATATATAATATAATAATGTGGCTTCTTGGGCCTTTGAGGCGGTCGGCTATATAGAGGAAAAAATGGAAATTTTAAATTTATAGCAAAGATTAACACCTTATTTATTTTAAATAAATACCATTTAAATAAATTATATTATATAGATACCTTTTATGAGTTATAGCAAAATTTCTAATTTTTGTTATCTTCTACACTTAAGTCACTAAACATGCTATTTTTTATTTTTCTCTCTCCCTTTTCAGATTTTTCTCTCTCATAATTACCGTATTTCATAAAAACTTCTCAATACATGTACTTTCTCTCTATTTTGAGACACTCTATTCCCTTTCCCATTCCCCGTAAACATGCTCAAAACCAGAGAAACCTCACACCCACACCGCTTCCTTCTTCCCCAATCTCGATATAAACCATAATTTCCTTTCGATTATTGTCAGTTGTTTCTATAATTAGTGTGGTAAGTATTTAAATTTTTTGATTTTCGCTATTTTTGTTTATTCTCAATATCTCTACTCACCAAGTTTTCTCTAATCAACAGTATCCAAGCGTATTCTCACAATGTCTGATTCAACACCTCGCAAGTTGATTACCAGAGATATACCCACTAAAATTCTCACTTTCGATGGGCCCTCTTTCTCCTTGCAAATCACTCAAGGGGAATTGAATGCAAGTTTAGCCAAAAATATGGCATTGGAGAAGAGAACAAAATCTCGTCATGACAATTTCAAAGACTTCCCATTGCGGAAAAGAGGAAAAAAACATATTTCTGAAGCTTCATCTGTCAAGGGGAAGGAGGTTGAAGCAAGTAAAAGCTCGGATACACTGGAAGAAAAGGTAATTTCTAATGTATTCATCTATATTGTTGATGTATTCATTTGTATTTATATGTATAAACATGTTGACTTCTCTATTTTTTATGTATATAAATACATGTAGATGTATTTAGATTTATTCAAAAAGTATATTCAATGTATTTTTGTACTTACAGAAATCAATGATACATATATGTAGATGTATTCTGATGTATACAAATTGACTTTTATTGAATTGTATGTTGCATAATGCATTTAGATTTATTTAGATTTATTCAAAAAGTATATTCAATGTATTTTTGTACTTACAGAAATCAATGATACATATATGTAGATGTATTCTGATGTATACAAATTGACTTTTATTGAATTGTATGTTGCATAATGCATTTAGATTTATTTAGATGTATTCAAATTGTTCTTTCACTGTTTTTTACGTTACTAGACTGACCTTTTTATATTGCATATAATTGTATTTATAAGGATTTTCAAAGTTCCCATCACTGTTTTATTCTAATTGCAATGTCTTTATTTATTGTATGTGTATGTATTATATTTGTACATATATTTCTATCACTGACTTCTTACTCCAGTTTATTTTTGCAGTTTGTATTCAGTTGCATTTATATGTATTCATAACAGTTATACTATGAAATATGTGTTGTATTCAGTTGTATTTATATGTATTTATTCTTGTTAAATGCAGAAATTAAGCTGTTTGTGAAAAAATAACCTATATTTGTACCGCATATCAGTGTATATACTAACACAGACATAGTCTCCGACCTCAAAGAAATTCTTACTCCAAAGCAGTACAAATAACTAGGTAATACTTGTTTTGAAAGTTTCCTTGAAATGAAGCGTTGTGAAGTCCAACATCAACTATTCATATGCTTCATGGTTCTGCAGTTAGAAGGAAGTCCTGACGATGTATTTTCAATATACGTCAATGGTACTACATTATCTTTCTCAATAAGGGAGTTTGCGCTTGTGACTGGCCTCAAATGTGTTGGTAACCCTGCTGATTTTCAGTTCACTAAAAAGGTTCCTAACCGGATTGTTGAGACATACTTTGGCGGAGCCAATCT